GTCTTTCTAAAATTATATTTCACAGCCTTCAGAACCCTCTTCTGTTTTTGTTCATGATCATTACAGGGTGCAGATGTTGAATATAAGCTTAGCCATTACACCAAATACCATCTGGCCTTCTGCCTTGACTTTCCTAGGTAATCAGAAGATACCTCTGTTGTGCAAGACAGTAGAGTAGATTCAGTGTGTGGGCTTAGAACCAGAGTGCTGAGATTCACATCCTGAATCTACCAATTGTTTTTAATATGATCTTGGACATGATACTCAAACTCCCTAACTGTGAGTTTCCTCATGTGTAAAACGGGCTTAAACAATACTACTGCTATTGTTTTGAAGGTTCACTCATTTAGCTTCCATTGCTAGGCACTGTTCCAGGCTTTTGGAATCCAATAGTAAACAATATGAATAAAAATCACTGATCTCAGGAAGCTGACATTCTCAGACATTGCACCTAAAGCCCTTAGAACAGTGTCTAGTACTCAGTGAGCCCTTAATAAATGCCAGCTGTTAGGGTTACTAATACTTGAATGAGACAGAGCAAAAAACTGGAATGACAGGAAATGTGTCAGAATGCAGTCAGCACATTCAAGACCTAGCAGTGGCCCGGTCACTAATTGTTTAGGTGACCTTCCTTTAATCTGTCTGGGCCTCTGTTACTTAAAGTGGTCTTACAGTGCCTTCAATTGAGTATATGGTAGATCACGAGTGACAGAAATGATGACGGGTTCAAATACGTCACAGAAAACATTTTATATTTATCTGTCTTTATTTTACCATTTAAATGATATGAAGGTGCACCAAAGACAAACTACTTTTTCAGTATATTCACAGTTTAGGAAAAGCTCAGACACTAGGTAATCATTTACAGTTTAAAAATAGAGGAAAAAAACCCTCAAAGATCATCAGGAAAAATGTAAATGGTCAGCAGCATACCAAATCTTTTACTTAATAAAATATGAAGTCTCAAAAAAAACCATACACACTCACATAAATAAAAGCTGGAAGCAGCATCTTACATTTAACTTAAAAAGTACACATAAGTAATCCTTATTAGAAATCACTGGACAAGGCAATCTCTTCTAGAACATATAAATGAAATATAATATTATTCCCTTTCTGGCAATCTTAGCCTTCCTAAATTAGTTTTCCCAATGAAGCTTAAAAATAATATTGGTCTCATATACATTTACATGAGATTATACATTTTTTAGGGTTTTGTAAACTTTATTCAAATTAGTTTTCTTTTTCGAGTTAAAATTCATACTCTTTCAACAAGATGTCCACAATTAATTCACGCTCTCTCTTACAAAGCGTTGTAACTTTGCTTTCAATTTTTCTTCGCTGGAATCTTCTTTCTCCTTCTATTCAGTGACACATCTATCCACCAAGTCTCACTCAGAGGGTATTCTCTGCAAAGTTTCCCTGATTATTCCCATCATAGTCCCCATACTGACAGGTCATATTAGATTCTCTTGATATTACTCCCAAAGAATTCTGTAGATTTTATCACAAAATTGACTATCTCTTTGCATTATTGTTAACTTCTGTTATATCCATCTGAGGGCAGTGACTATAATCTTCATTTTGGTAGCCCCTGGCACAGAGTAGGCAACTGCCCACATTTGTGAAACATTGGAAAATCAATGTTTTCAATGGATAAGCAAAACTCTGACTGATTAATAAAATAAATGTGGTCGAATATACTCTAATTTGTAAAGTTGTTAGCTTACTCCATGATGAAAAAAAATCACTGTGTTAGAAGAACCAAACATGAAGAGAATCAGTATAGAGTTGAAAATTAGAAAAAGAAATATTTCACTTAACCCCTCCAAAATATGTCTTTTTTGATACTGACAATGACATATGAAATTAAGAAATGTTCCCCAAACTCCCCATTGATTATGGTCTTTCACTCAAGTATATGGCAATATAAAGTGTATCCTCCTTTTACTTTCTGTAGCTATCAAAGAACAATGGCACAAAGGCAACTTTTAGAAATAAACCCGAATAAAAACAAATCTGCCAGTAGGATTTATCAAGAATAAAACCATAAATGAATGCCATTACCATTTATATCAGGTATGTCAATCCTGAATCCCCTTAACTTCAAAATCAGAATATTCTTTATAGATGACATCTAACAATCTAGTAACATACCTTTGTAAGTAAACATATACAGACCACAAAGTTTATCAGTGTATTTCAAACAGTTAATAAAGTATAAGTAGGAAAGAAAATTTCACACTGGCCTATAGAATGCAACTACTACTGTTTCCAAAGAAAAAGCTGCATAGGCTGGCACATAGGAACAGGGTTCTACAGCACAATTCACTATTATAAAAAAATCAACACAAAGAATAATTTATTTTCTCAATACAATACTATGAATTGGTGAGGTATTAAAATGAAAAAAAAAAATTTATCCAAAAGAGCATTTAATGAGTCTGAAGAGGAACAAAGGACCACTAGTTGGGAGATATCATAAAATTCATCTAGCACTCATGATTAACAAAGGAAATAAGAAAGCAGATAGTTTAGAAGAATTCAATGGAAGTGATTAAAGAAAAATATTATATTGTTGCTATATTATGGCTAGTAAGGAAAAGTCATAATAAACATTTTTAAATGCCAGAAAAGTATTTATGAGAATAAAGACAAAAAGAAGATATTCTATGCCAAGGATGACAAATTGGGGTGTGTGTGTTAATACTAGTGTGTACCCTGGCAGATGTGACTAATTGATCACTGGACTCTTTACGGCTGTTCCTGGAATTCTTCTCAACGTCTACAGGGAGAGCCCCTACCATTCACTAAAAGTTGGCGCTAGTGCTGAAGCCTATTTGTCAAACCCGCTCTCACTGACATTGTTCAAGATGTTCAACTGGGAAACCTTCCCAGTAGGCAAATGGCATAGGTCTATGCATAACCTGCTAGGATATGTGGTCAAGAAAGGGTTGACTTTCAAAAATTTGTGAAGACATGAAAATTCTTAAAAAGTAAAGTGGGGAAAATAACATTACAGCAGATAATATTATGATTTAGAGAGGGAAATGAATTCAAAAAAGCTAACTGCCATCTACAATGTAGAATAGTTTCAATTCTCATGACATAGACATTTACACAGTGATCCATTTTTGAAAAAAAAAATCACTATAAAAAGTAGCAAGAGATTGAAACAATGGTCCTCTCAAATGCAATGTCCCAGAAATTAAAGAATAGTTGTGGTAACTGACAAATTAAAAAAAGTTTCAGGCCGGGCGCGTTGGCTCATGCCTGTAATCCCAGCACTTGGGAGGCCGAGGTGGGCGGATCACGAGGTCAAGAGATCGAGACCACCCTGGCTAACACGGTGAAACCCCATCTCTACTAAAAATACAAAAAATTAGCCGGGCGTGGTGGCGGGCGCCTGTAGTCCCAGCTACTCGGGAGGCTAAGGCAGGAGAATGGCGTGAACCCGGGAGGCGGAGGTTGCAGTGAGCCGAGATCGCGCCACTGCACTCTAGCCTGGGCAACAGAGTGAGACTCTGTCTCAAAAAAAAAAAGTTTCAATAATGTGCATTTATTACAGTTTAAAGCCACAGGCAGTCTAATAGTATGAAATAAATCAGAGACAAAAGGAGTAATTACCAAAGAGAATTTGAAACACCTCAATACCTCAGCAATAAAAATTACACATTTTCTCCAAATGAAGAGCAAAACCTTAATGGTTACTTTTAACACAGTGTTGACCACTAATGAAATTAATGATAGTACAATTTTTATCCAGAATCAAAAGCTTTTTAAGTCAATTCTTATCATGTGATTCAATCTATAGTCATAGAAAGTAAAACAGAAATACAATGATAATGTCTTATGTTTAGTTAATTTCCAAAAAAATACATCTCCATAGAAATGAATTTTAAAATATATGCAATTGTTGAACCATATTTAAAATACAGATCATAATTATAGTTTCAGAATAAAGCTGAACACTAAGTAAAATTTGGGTGGGGGTGGGGACATTTAAGTCAAAAATATCTATTGAGATCACATAAATGTATAGTTAAGACGATGGTAACTTTGCTTTCCTTTAATTATACATTATACAACCTCACTAGAGTGTTAAAGCAAAGCCTAGACAATGATACCCCACAGAGAAAAGCATACTTCGGTAACAAAACCAGTTACATAAACTGTATAACAGCTATGAATCTAGCAATGAACCCTGCTCCACATTAAACAGTATTATGCACAGTTTCTGGTGCATAAAAACTGCATCAGTTCTCCACTTCATTGAGCTTATTTATACTTAGCCATATTTAGGATCTGACATGAATTCTGCAACAGATCCTAAGTTGTACTGACATTTAGCACTAAAAAACACTTCCTGCTACAAGCAACTAAAACCACAATGTATAAAGCATTAAGACCAGGTCACTACATATAATCAGAACAAGTTTCATAAAATCTCCTTTGAAATAACTAGTATTTATTTTCTCAATACAATGCCATGAATTAGTAGGTACTAAAATGAAAAAAAAAATTAATTCGTCCAAAAGAGCATTAAATGAGTCTGAAATCTTTTACTTTTGACCAAATTCACTGTCATGAATTGCTGTTTTACTATTATGCTTTACCATGACTTCATATGTAATTTCTTTGGAAAATGAGAATAGACAACACATGAAACAATCTTACCTGATTACAAGGCTGTAGTTTCTTATATTACTAAATTGTAGTACATTCCATGTGACTGTTGTTCATGATTATAATAAAACAAATTCTAACTAGAAGGCAAATCACTATCTACTTAGGTACTCACTTCAAGTAAGAGGAAAAATGAGTGTTTGTATAAACTATATAAACAACAAGCAGAGGACACGTTCACACAAAATACAGAAAACAGCAAGAAAAGCCGTGAGTTTCATGAAAGAAAATGAGTTCTGTATTGTAGCAAATACATCAGCTTTCCAACATTCTATTAATAAAACCAAAAATTGCTTTAAAAATGTTCTCCTTACCTGTGTATACAGTTTTTACTCTCGAGATACAACATACCAGCAGCAGCGTCTAATGAAAATTTCACTAACTGTTTGAGTTTTAGTTCATCCTTCTTCCTTCTCAGAAAGGTGAGGAAATCACCTCCTAGAGGAATTGACAGATGAACAATGAGACAAAGTTATGATGAAAGTAACATTTATCATCTATTTGGATCTATTAGGAATATTTGACAGAGCAATATGCATTACACATTTGGCCATGCTTTTTGCCCAATTTGTTTGAGGTGAGGATAACAGAAAACATGAAAAGAAGATATCATATTAGAAAACAGACACCATAATCTCTTCTAGATACAGTTTAAGTACTTTAAGTGTTTCATACTGTACATTATCCAGGTCATAATAACACTCAAAAATCATACTTTTTCCTTTATCACTATTTTTACCAATTTGCTTCATTAATATCTATGGAATTTGATTTTCTCTAATGCCACATGAAAACTATATTATTATGAGTCAAATATGAGTATGTAAAAAGTAAATTATATTGGATTAGCTATTAGATTCAGCGATTGCTTAAAAAATTAGACTATTAACACCAACATAACTGATAGCAATGTCCAGAGAGAAAAAGAAAAATGCTATGATTTTGGCCTGATTTACTCACTGACCCAGATTGCATTTTTATGCATCAAATAAATTCCAGTGAAGTCTTAGAAAAACTTCTTAAACCTTTATGGTCCAAGACATACATAACATGAGCCAAGTAGTAATTTGAAGTTTACTAGTAGCTGCATTTTTTAAAAGTTTTAAATGTGCAAATTATTTTAATAATATAGTTTTCTTGAATCTAATATATCCAAAACATATATGAAAATTATAGTTGAGATATTTTACATTTTAAAATCACAATCTTTGAAATATGATATTTACATTTATGGTACATCTCAATTTAGATGTAAATTTCATCTGAAATATTTGATCTATATTTAGATTTCATTAAATTTACAGCTGAAAAGTAGATTCACATACCCAAGATGTTCCAAACATGCTTAAAATTATCCAATAACTGAATATCAGTATTTTAATTTAAATCAATTAAAATGAAATGAAATTTAAAATTCAGTTTTTTAGAAGCAGTAGCCACATTTTAAGCACTCAAGAGCCTCATATGGTCAGTGACTACCATACTGAATAATGCAACCATAAAACTTTGCATTCATTTTTAATATAACATTAAAAGCTTAGGCTTATTTTTCTTTTTAGTTACTTTATAGTTTGTTGCACTACTAAAAAAGAGTTAAAGTATATTAAAATACATGTTCTCCAAAAACAATCTTTCCCACTTTCTCTATTAGGCCCCCAGATATTAAACCAGAATTTTAAAAGAGGGATTAGCATTTTATTTGTCATTTCTAGACTATTTTGTTCTTTTACTTCCTTCATCAGGGATCTATGCTTTCTTAACTAGAAAAGCTATAGAGGTGAAGACTTAATGGCTTTTTCCTTAATGAGAATACCTAGAAAATAAACATCTGCCTAACTCTCCTTTAAATATTCTCTTCTTTTCTAACCTTTTCTCTTATTCACAGTTTAAGTATTATACAAATTTAGGTGAGCCATTAACAAAATCAAATAAGCTATGCTTTAAACATAAACTTAATGGTGTCAATTTTTTTCTGTTATTTTTAAATGAATACCAAATATATTAAATTACCAGGATGATGATTGAAATAGTTTCTATCAAGCTTTACTTAAAAATCAGAACAAAACCTGATTTCAATAGTGAAAAGTAAAATTCCACTAATTTATCAACTTTAATAGATACTAAAATGCTTATTAAAATAGACATGAAATTAATATTTAGTTCAAGCTATTACTTGAACCAATATTCACATATTAATTATTTTGTTAGATATATGTACCTGTTTTAGAAAACATGTACCTTCTGGTTTTGAAACCACATAGTATTCTGTCTGAGCTATAGAATAACTTTTAAATGAAATAATCTTTTCTGCAATTTAATTTAAAAGCAGCATATGACATACATAACTCCAGTGCTGTTCTGTAGAATCCTGATACTTTTTTTCCAGTTATCACTTTATCATCTGACTCTTAAAAATTTACTTCTTGATATAATACTCTTTGTACTCCCAACCCACATTTGTTATTCAACAAATTATTTAACAAACTATTATTCAACAAATTACCAAATATTGTTTAATGTATAATATATGAATAAACAAAGACAAACACTACACTTAAATAGCGTTAAATAATGAATGAAAAGTGATGTCCAGCAAATAAAAGTACTAGGAAGGCAGAGCGATATACAACTCTTTCCAAATACTGTAACACAGTCAAAAATACAGAAGGGGTTTCTGATTGTTCTGTAGTTAATCCAACAATATTTCTGCCTTAGAACAATTTCCTGCTTAAAGTCATTAAATCTAGGAAAGGAAATTTTCAATTTATTTCCAATTTATAGTTATTTAAGCCACAGGCATAGTAATACTAAGGGAAGGAACACAGTTCCACCATTCCACAAGCCTAGTCAGCTTCTTGCAGAAAACTAGAGGGAAGCAAGGACCTCAATAAAAATTAAATAATTATGAATTATTATTGAAAGCCCAAGCCTTCTGCATGTACAAGTATTAAGATCCCTGAAGCAAGAAATAAACTCCCCAGGAGGCAGAATATGGGACTAAAGTTAGGATACCCAGAAAATAACTCAGACGGGGCCAGAGATATTCCCTTAACCACAATACTTGATTATTACCATTAAGTGATAAACTGAAGGCTGATATCAGATGATATAGTCTTCAGTGTTCACTGTGAAGTTATTTTAGAAGGCAGAGCCTGTCCCTTTCAACTTGTTCTTTTGTCATTTGCATTAAGTGCCAATATAAAAACCTCTCTTAGAATTTGTGATATATGCAATATTCATACATGCAGCACACACGTATATATGCATATGGATACATATAGCATACGGTATCCTACCTGACCACTGCAGTAAGGATCTTGGTTCTCAAAGTGGGCAATAAAAGATAACTCACGCCCCTTTTGTAATTCTGCTTATCAAGACTTTAATGTGGGTGTGCTGCACATTAAACCAAAATGGGATACATTATTTCCTAGAATTCTGTAACAATGATAAATTTCTAAGACAATACTTGCAATGTTTTTAATAGTCAGCTTATGGTTTACTAGGGAGATAGCATGACTTGCTGAAAAGACATGGACACTTAAGTCAGACTGACCTAGGTCTGATTAACCATGTGGCCTTGGATAATTGTTTAATCTTTCTAAACTTTTAGAAAACACAGATTTAATACCATTTATTTCTCAAGACAGCTTTGAAGACTAAAATGTATTTAAAGTATCAAGCATGTGCCTAGCACATAGTACACACAATAAACACTATTACTACTTATTATACTTTATATATTAATTATATATTTATATATTATATGTTTATATACTGTTGTAAATACTATTTAGTATTTATACTATTACTATTATTGTTGCTGTTATTTTGTAAAAAAACAAATGAGAAAGGGTTGTAGTAGGGACTCAGTGTTTGCTGTATAACATCTATTTTCCCTGATTCATCCCAATTTCCCTCATGGGACTGCCCCTCTACCATTTTGGAGGGCATTAACCTAACCCTCAATAATAAGGGTGATGCTAGACTGGCTTAGCCCAGTCGACGAAATCTCTTCCCTAACTCAAGTGATTGGTTCAGGAATAGGCACAAATCTTAAGAAGATTAAATAACACTGAGAGGCAAAGATGCTTGAAGAGTGAAAAAATTTTTTGAGAGAAGTGCCAAGAAAGAAGTACAACTAGACATAAACATGACATCACATAATATCATGAAGACTGGCAGCCTTAGGATGAAAGCATCCTAAGATGCATTCACAGAAAGCAGAAAGGAGTGAAGAAAAGATACTAGCCATTGGTGACAAGCCTGAGCCACTGAATCACATACTGCCTGTAGTGTGACTTCCCTCTAAATTTGTCAATTAACTGAATAAACTCTATAGAGTTTTTTTTATACATCTTCTGTACTAGCAATTTGAAGATATCTAATGGATAAGATGACATCTGTATCAGAAGGTCACTTTGAGGATTAAAAAGATAATATATATTAAATGTCTGAAACAAGTAGGGAAAACAATACATAGAAGTGTTTATTACCGTTTGCAGCCAACCTTTAATGAGAGAATAGCTGGCTATTATTTTCAACAGCTGTTTCTCAAAGATTTCTGTTACTCTGTGCTATGAAAATTTGATCTTACCTGTTCTTTCAGTATTTATGGGGCTCAGAGGAACTGATCACACTAAACATAAACTCAGTGAGACTATGCAACAAGAATATTAATTTATAATTTGGAGAAAAGGGATCATCAGGGCAATGCCACTAACAACTTCTTATCATTGAATCACAGGATCTTAATTTATCCTCAACGAACTTCAGAGTTTATTCAATTAAGATATATCAGTTCCCCAGTGATTTATAAAATGTGTAATTAATTACGCTTGTTTTTAGGAAACCAATTTGTTTCCTGAGAAGTTCGTTTGGTTTAGCTACTTTAAATTATTCGTTAAAAAAATAGGCTAGTAATCAAGGCAAATACTAAATCATAGAGAACTATGTTTGGAGCTCCATTTATGTCATTATTCAGAATTCTTATTTTTAAAATGTTTTGGTTTTTAACCAAAAGTGATGAGAATTATGGCTGTTAGCCAGCCCATCAGAAATGAGGGGGGGGAATCGATATGACAAATATAAACAATGAATGCTGATGTAAACTGCACCCCATGAAACACAGAATAGATTTCATACACTAGGATATAAACCCAAACAAGTTCCTGAAAAGAAGAGGACCAATGCAAACACTAAAGCAGGGGATACTGGCTGCTACATATAGGGTATATTTATGAGAGATGGGCTGCACAGAAAGGAAGATCAGCTGGGAGAGGGCTCTAGTTGCTGAGTGGGGTGATGAGGGCTTCTACCAAGAAGAAACCATAGAAACAAACTAAAACATTAGGTCTGAAAAGACTCAGTAATAAGCTAGAATTGGTTCAGTTTGTGGGGAAAGATGAGGAAGATTAAATACTAAAAATCAGAAAATG